AATTTAGTGAATTCACTGTCATGTTCAAGAAACTAGTTTGAGATGATTTGAGCTTTGACATGGAGTGTTATCCAGCTGGAAGTATCTCTCAGAAGATGGTACACTATCTGTGGTCATAAAGAGATGGACTTGGTCAGCAACAATACTCAGGCTGGCTGTTGCGTTTAAATTATGCTCAACTGGAAAATATTCACCACATCATTTCAGCACCAGCAGCCTGATACAAGGTAGGATGGATCCATGCTTTCATGTTGTTTACACCAAATTACCATCTGAACGTCGCTGCAGAACTCCAGCCTCAGTTTCCAGTTCTTATCTGACAGGAGTGTCAGCGGTGTGTGTCTTCTGCTGCTGGAGCTCTTCTGCTTCAAGGTTTGACAAGGTTTGTGTGTTCAGAGATGCTGCACCTCGGTTGTAAACTTGGTTGAGTTTATTTGAGTTACTGTTATGGTGCATTCACACCGGACGCGAATAGCGTGTCAGGCGCGAATGATTTCAATGTCAAGTCAATGCAAAGACGCGTTACGCGCGTAAAAAATTCCTGCGGCGCGTCAAGTTCGCGTGATTGGCGCGAATTGAGCGTCTGCCGTGTTAAGCGCGAATGATTTAGTTACTGTGCGTTCACACCAGAGACGCGAATAGCGCGTCAAATTCGCACCTAGTTTGACGCTTGACCACTTTGTGTTAACTCGCGTGTCAAAAGTGAAACTGACGCACGTAAAAACAAAAGTTTGAAGCGAAATTTACGCACGTGACGCGCGTCAGAATTGAAATCCGTTGGCGGACATTTTTTTTTATGTCGACCGAGCATTCATCGAGAGAGTCACCACTCTGTGTTTACTCTGGAGAGCAGAACAGCTGCGTGGGAACATCGTCCCCGTATATTTGTGTCCACCGGACCCTTCGGAGGTGAACCGTTTGGCGAGTTTCACCATTTGCTCGCTCCAGGAGCTGCGCTGGATGACGGCCGCTGTCAGCAGTACTTCCGCCTGTCACGCGGCCAGTTTGATGACCTGTTGTCCTGCATCGGAGCGAGGATCACCCTCGCCCTCATCATCTAATCTAGCTGTCATTTATTTTTGTTTTGATGATAAATAGAGCCAGCCTTTAAAAGTTATTAACCTGTCCTGTGATTTTTTTTCTTCTCTTTCATGTCCAGACACGAACTTATGCACATGTATGTTGGTTGTCTTTACATCATAATACTATTTCATATAATCTAGATATGGAATGAATAACATTCAATGCAAAATGAAGATGTCTCGTACATAGAAATAAAGTTTTAAGAGATAAAATATTTGCTTTGTTGTGCATAATCCCAACATCTGTGTTGATGAGAGAATCATACCCTGCGTCCCAATTCGCATACTATTCGTCCTAAATAGTATTCGAAAATAGAATTAGTACGTCCCAAATCGTAGTATGTTGAAATGAGTGTTTCAAAGATACCCGGATGGTCTACTTTTTCCGGTCAGAATCCGAAGTGTAGATCGATGCACACTCTAACGGCTGATATTGCCCACAACCCTTTGCACGTCGGAAGAGGATTCGGTTAGAACTACAAACACGAGTAAAAAGTGTTAAAAAACTACAGTCACGTAGTCGATACGGAGGACGCGCGAGTCCCCGCGGTTGTGTAGAGAGGTTTAGATAAAAAGCTTTGAGTGATTAATTATCAGTATCTAACCTGACAAAAAATAAATGTATTAAATGTTGTCCACATTATATTGCATTTGCAGCAGCATTGTGAACGTTTGTAAAGACACGTTTAGCCACGTTTTAAATGCATCATTATATTCAAATTGCAAACACGATGAGAGCATTAAAGACCCACAACTGGCAGATGAACGTGCTCTCCGAAACGGTAGGATATAAAATTAGATTGAATGGAGAATTTTCAGTTTACGGTGACAGGATGCACGCAGCACGCGACAGAGCTGTCCGTTAAAGATGACGTGATAGTATGTCCCAAAGCTTGCCTACTCTTTTGCTACACACTCAAAAGTATGTACTTTTTCCTCACAAAAAGAGTACATACTTTTAGGGCGTAGTATAAGTAAGCGAATTGGGACGCAGCAATAGTGTATGGGCCACTGACTTTACACTACGTTTTTTCTGGTCAGTGGCGGAATTGTTTTCTCGACCCACCCAGGGAGCGCAAGTTCATTCCCTAGTTTACCGACCTGCGTCTGTGGAGGGAAAAGCCCGATTTGCGCGGGTGCAAAATAGGAATGATAAATGCGTCAGTGTACAAAGTCATTTGTGCCGGGTGCAAGATAGGGCCCTATATCTGAATTCTATGGTAAAAATAGGGGCTTTTATAGCTATAAACCACGCCCATACTGGTGGGCTAAGACACGGTGGGCTATTGGTTCACGCATCTTAGCCGTCTTGCCATAGGTTTGTGCAGTTGCTGCAGCCAATGAGCATGCTAGATGCTCAGCTGTATATGTCTGCTGTGCATCTGCACTGCGTTTTAAAAAACGTGGCTTTAATATTCTTGAGAAAAGGAGTTTTCTCATAGCGTAAGCTAACTTACGCAATACGGGAGACCTGTCGAAAGGGAACTGAGCAGGTCATGGGGACTTGGGCAGATAATGAATGAATGTCATTCAAAAAGAGTTTTTTAAGGCCGTTCCTCAGTATGTTTTTGCCTCCAGCTGCTAACCAAACCTCAGTGTCTTATCTCTCTCAGCTGTACTTTCACTCTGGCATTAATTATAGACAAGGCTTCGAAGTCAATTCAGGAGACAGTGCAAATTAAGGTCACTGATGTGCGATGCGTATTAGGCTGTGCAGGCAGTATAGAACAGAACACAATATTCCTTCTCCTAATCTATGAAAAAATCAGGAGGTGTGAGGTAACCACAGAAACGAGAATCGGTACAAAAAAAATTTGAATATTCACAAGGAGCAAACAGACAAAAATAGCTGTTTGTTAACTATGTTCCTGTCACTTTGCTAAGTGTTCTTTTTTTAGATTAAATGAAGCAGAAAAACAAATATTCACTTTATTGCAGATTGTGTTTCCACACAAGTGAGACTAACGGCAAAATAATACACTACAGCAAGTGCGCTGTCGTCTTGAACATACTTATATGCGTTCATTCAGATGACATAGGGATAAAAAAGTGTCCCATGTGTAAAATGAAATACTCGGCTGTATCTTTAATGCTGTGGGCCTAATTTTCTGCCAGAGGTCCTGGACATCTTGTTCAGATACATGGCATCATGGATTTGATAAAATTTCAACAGATAAAAAATCTAAACCTGACAGCCTGTGCTTGAAATCGTATAATGGGCCATGTTTGGATCTTCAAAAAGGACAGTGATCCAGAAACAAACATCAAAATCAAAACAAAAATGGGTCGCTGAGCACAAAACCAAGCATCTGCAAAGGCTATCCCAGTCCCCAGACCTGAACCCTATAGAAAATGAGTGGGTTTTGGGTGATTCTGTACGGAGTAATGGTCTCTGATCTCTTGCCAGGTGTTCTCCAAACGCTTCAGGCATTATAGGAGAAGACTCAGGGCTGTTATCTTGGAAATAGGAGGTTGCAAAAAGTATTAAATAAAAGGGGGCAAATAAAAGTTCCCAATGTGTTTTGGAGAAACACATTTATTTCATATGAATTTGATGTGATTTCCCTCCCACTTCCAATTCGTTTACTTCAATAAAAGGTTAGATTTTTGCATTTTTTAAAAATAATATATATATATATATATATATATATATATATATATATATATATATATATATATATATTTTAAATGCAGATTTATTTTTACAGCCATCTTTGATCATATTTACCAAGTGGGCAAATAATTTTGACCAGTATATAGTATATACTGTATATAGTGTTAGGGGCATGCATTACAAGTAATGTGCTTTACTTATTCAGATTACTTTTTTAACACAATACTTTATAACATAGTAATATTTGAGTTACTTTTTATAAAAACTAATGCAATTTACTTGATCAATTTTAAACTACTGAATTAAATTTCTTTCTTCTCCATAACATCCGCACTCATGCTTGCGCGGAAACTACAAAAAAGCACAAAAGTAACAAAACACATTTCTTTCATTTTCCAATAAAAAGAGTTGTACAGGTTAAATAACATTATTGTTAAGAGATCCTTTGTATGGCAAGCATAGCTCTAGGGATCAGGAAATATTCTTAGTGATCAGAGAATATAATACTCTAAATGAGGTTGTTTTTTTTTGTGTTTTTTTTAAATAAAGGTACATGTTAAATAGGCTATGTTGTTGAAAGTCCCCCGTATTTCCCCTGTAGTCAATCATTCTATCCCTTAAAACTCACCTTTGATCACCAAAATGACTTAACTTTGATCACCAAAATAGCTTGATTGTAACTCTACACCCTTGCCTCATTTAGCATACGTGGTTCTATGAATATGCAAATTAGCCCCAACTCCACTCTCTTACAACAGCTCAGAGATCCAATTGTTGACGATCACACACTGACCTGATTGGTTACAGTTTGTGACGAAAGAAACAGCAGTGATTTCAAACCGCGTTTTAGAAACTGTCTTTGGTTTACTGCAGTTTTAAGGAGAAAATACTCAGCGATGGTGTTTACACATGGTTTGTCTTAAGCATATTACTGTAAAAACACCACATAGACATATAAACAACATTAAATGCTGCATTTCCCCAAAGGAGGACTTCAAACATGCAAATATATACAGTATATATAGATTAAATAGATAGATAGATAGATAGATAGATAGATAGATAGATAGATAGATAGATAGATAGATAGATAGATAGATAGATAGATAGATAGATAGATAGATAGATAGATAGATAGATAGATAGATAGATAGATAGATAGATAGATAGATAGATAGATAGATAGATAGATAGATAGATAGATTTTTCAACCTATCTGCTGATAAGGTACATTCATATGGATAAGTTTCCTCATATTATTACTGAAACTATATTAATATGCCTAAAAACACAATGTTTCTTACTGTGTTGGCAGTGGACACCATCGAAGCCAAGTGGACATCTGCACAAATATCCGACAAAAGTGTCACCGCGGTAGGTCTCACTCAGCTCACACACCCCTCCGTTGTGACACGGGTTTGGGCGGCAGATCCCTGAATCAGAAAAACACAGTATCTGAAATCTGCAGGATTCTTTTGAAGTGGTATTTATTTAAAGTTACAGTATGTATAAGTGAACTTGATGTTCAGTGTGCTTGATCACACGCACTATTCCCACAAGGTGATTATTATTTCATGCCTTTCAGCTCAGTCTGAACATCACACTAAATACTGCATTGGCTGTAAAAGATGATTCCAGAGTGTGACTTCCTAATGAATGCTAAGCAGGTGTTTAAATGTGAATTAACAAGTGAATGGAAATCGAGGCTGACATCATTTCTGTTCATGGCTCATAAACGAACATAAGCCATCTGCTTAATATGGCATTTATATCTGGAGTCTCAATGAGGAATCTCTTTTGAACGTTTCTTGAAATGAAGAGAACAGAGCATTAAAGGAGACTTCAAATAAACAAACTCACCGATTTCAGATTGCTCTTCCCAGCCTGATGCTGTTGAGAGAGCAGAATGTAGTTTGTTAAATTCTAATATCCTCTATGCTATTGCTCACTATTCCCAATGAGATGAAAGAGTTCCACTACAGACTTTAAGTTAATTTACAGGAAAAGAATGTAAAAATGCTACAGTATAAAAAATTATTTGGTTAGCACACCACTTAAGGTACCTTATCATACTGTACGTTTATTATATATAATTGTATTGTAAAATACTGTCAAATAAAAACTATGATTTAATATTTTACAGTGAAAAACACGAAAAGGACATTCCCATAAGTCTCTGCATGACACCACATATGATTCTATTTTTGTTTAAATAATTTTGTAATTTTGTAAGCCAAAATTCTGATCTAAAGAAGCAACAGCCAAAACAGATTCTTGATCCGAAAAGGGTTCTTTGCTGAGTTTAAGAATCTTTGGAGAAGCTTTATTTGTATGAGTTTGGAGAAATAAAACATCACTTTAGGCCAGTTCACACCAAGAACGATAACGATAAAGATATAGTTGTAAAAATCATTTAAAATTTTAAACGAATAGCAGAGTCCACACCACAACTTTAACGATAAAAAGGCAAATAATATCGTTAGAATCACTTTCAGAATGACTTTTTCCCGGCTGACAAACGATTAAAACACTGACAGCCAATCGGAATCCATCATGCTTTAAAGGGATAGTTCACCCAAAAATTAAAATTAAGTCATTAATTACTCACCCCCATGCTGTAACGACCCCGTAAGACCTTCGTTCATCTTCGGAACACAAATAAAGATATTTTTGATTAAATTTGAGAGCTATATCCCAACCACATAGGCAACCTAAAGGATTGAAACTTGACGGCCCAGAAAGTCAATGAAGAAAATGTTTAAATATTCCATTGGCTCAACTATAAGTTTATCAAGCGACGAGAATACTTTTTGTGCGAAAAAACAAAACAAAAATAATGACTTTATTCGACTATTCCTTTTCTTCCTTCTGGGCCTGAGACGAGAGTTCAAGAGATTTCCACGACGCATGCATGCATCGTGGAAATCTCTTGAATTTTTGGGTGAACTAATCCCTTTAACGAGCTCGAGCATTTAAAGGGCCAGACGATAAATTTTAGTGAATATGCTTAGAACAAACAAAACGATGTCGTGTGTCGGTGAGGACGCTTGTCAATATTGTTCTTCATGTGAAAGGGCCTTTAAACCTTGCAAACTCATGATATTTCAACACTATCTCACGACCAATTCGTACGAATTCGACGCATGATTAAAAAGTGGCTAATTCGTACTAATTCGTACGACCTCACTCGTACTAATTCGTACGATTTGTCTAAACCCACGTGATGGTTAGGTTTAGGAGCGGGGTAAGGGGTAGGTCATTCGTACGAATTCATACGAATTGGCCAATTCGTAAAATATGTAAGATTTAGCAAAATCGTATTAATTCGTACGAGTGAGGTACTACGAATTACGAATTAGCCACTTTTTAATCATTCGTCGAATGCGTACGACTTGGTTGTGAGATCGGGTTGGATATTTTGAAAACTCAAGTCAGAGGCACATATCGCTCAAATGTTGTCTTACAGAGACAAATTTCAAGAAATTAAATCTCATGGGCCTTTTCGGCTTCTTGAATCCAAAATGACACATTAAAAGTGGCTTAAAAACTCACAGGAAACATTTTCTTCAGCTGGTGTACTGGGACAGTCAGCACCGTTCTCACACGGAACCGGTTCACATACTTCACCTACAAAACGTGTAAACGTGTAAATGTGTAGCCACACTGTATAAACAGGAAATGAATACATCACAAGTTAACTTACAAGTTAAGTCAACTCTATAACTTGGAAATGTGTGTTGCAGACAGATGCACATGAGTTTGTGATTCTATCCTTAGCCACTCTGTCATTTCCACCTGAATTATTCAGCCACAGGAATCTGGACTGGAACTTTGAGTGTTTACACAGGTGTCCGTGTCGGCTAAACTTTGGAATACACTTGCTGACTATTAAAGATGCAGCGCAGATGTTTGGGGATGACATAATGTCAGTGCTTTAGAAATGTGTAAGGTTAAATGAGATAGAAAATAGGAGAAAATCCTTTGTGTTTAAAAAGAAACACGGCTGATGGAGCTATCTATGTTCACAATGACCCGACACAACCCAAACTAAGAGTGGATTATAGCACGATCCACACGGTACACTGAATTTCACACTGACAGGAATTTTTATTGTGTTTTGTTCATTCATTGATACAAAATCACTGGCAATTTGACTATGGATAGCACAGTAAATCGGAAAAGAAAATGAACGATTCCTCAAACCTAAATGTATACTGTAAAAAATGATTTTTTGGTGAAGTAAATACTAGTGGAAAAAAACCCAATGTAATTTACTTGAAAAAGTTAGTTCAGGCAAGAATTTAAAAAAAACTAAGTAAATTCCATATCAGTACTTAATCCAAGCGAGTATAAATGAAAGTTTAAATATCAACTCAATAAAATTAAGTAAAAATTACTCAACTTTTCTGATACTGGGGTTCCCATCATGCACTGGACCTTGAATAATCAATGAGGCTCATTTTTCACTGGTTTTATCATTGATTTTTGTTGTCAGTATTAGTAAATTGCCATTTTGTGACATTTCGAGTAAATGTTTTGCTCAAAATGACACATTCAAACACAAAAACGACCCATCAAATGTTACCGCCATTGTGTATTGCCTACCAAGTATTGAGGTGTTTGCATTCACATGAGGCTTATTGTATGACATCATGATGTATATATAAATTACTTAGATGATCTAAGTAAAGCACATATAAATGACTAATAAAATTCAAGATTCTTGTTTTAGTGAAATGTAATGCAAAGGAAATCGGTATTAATCAACCTTTTACAAGCCAAGTTAAAATTACTTATTTTTTGTAAATTGTAACGTTTACTTAATTCCATATTCCAAGTAAATTTAACTTAAAGATTTCTAATTAAAGCTACTGATAAATATGTTTAGGTTTTTACTTGGCAAATCTTTGTAAATTTACTAGCATTTTCTGAGTGAGATAGTTTAGCAAGGTTTTTTCAAGTAAATCCTACTCCAAATTTTTTACAGTGTACCAAGGTACTGTAATTACAGTTTCCACCAAAAAGTAAGGCTAGATAACACTTTAACTCCACTAACAAAAAATACTATGGTATCATGGTAATACTGTAGTTTTACTGCAACCTATTACATGGTAGATGATATGGTTTGTATATTTTACTGTAAAAAAAAACATGGTATTGTGGTGGAAACTATGGCATAGTTTCTCATAATCATAATATTCATTTTAATAAATGATAGATAGGTATGAAGCTAAAAACAGTTATAACTCTTTCACAACAACAACAACCCAGTTGATTTCTAATGACATCTCAGTGACAGTACTGAGTCATTCGTAAAGGTCAGCAAGAGATGCACATGACATTTAACAACAATCACACTGAGTTCAGCCATTACAAACACCAAGGTGATGTTTCAGGCTTGCAGATTATAGTCTTTTTTTAATGGATATTTATTGTGCAGATGACCTCTGGATCACCTCAAAGTAATATCAAACAAATATCACAGATCATAACAGCGTTATGAGCAATGACACATGCACAAGCAGGCGTTTTACTATTCATTGCCATCTTTATGTCAAGCAGCTGCAGGCTACTTGGATTAATATCATATTTAATTGAACGTCTGTTAGAGGGCGCTGATCAAGTGCTCATAATCCCGAAATAACCCGACATCTCATTATCATCTCCCTCATGAATTATGTCTGAGGACGTTTGAATAAAACACCGAAAGTGATGCTGCTGATATCCGACCTGTGAATAAACGCATTAAACGTTGTCTGGAAGTTCTGACGTGTGTGTGATGAACTTAATCTAGGTTTGTTTTGTGCAAATGCGAGTCGTATGTAAAACACAGAGAGTTGTGTTCAGTGAACTCACCCGTGGATGTCGGATGTGGGATGGACGCGGCAATGCGGGCGACCAGGAACAAAAATAAAGGAAGCATCGCGAGGAAACTTGTGTATGTCCTCTGGTTCTCCAGCAAAGCCTCGATCCTTCCCGTGTTTCAGCTGTGATGATGCAGATAGAATGTCAGAGAGATGCTGTGACTCCGAGCAGTGCTGCTGATGCTGCTGATGCTTCTTACTGCAGTGATGAAGATGATGATGGAGACTCGACACAGGCAGGATTCACAGCATCAGTGAAGACGCACCCACTGATCCATTCATCCGTTCATCAAATAATAAACTTTAATATCTATGGCATACAGGGAATTACGTAGCTAGCTGAAAAAAAAATCAAAACAAAGAAAGAAATGAAAGAAAAAAATAGCCTAGAAGGGCACGTATAGCCTATGGCAACTTGATTTGACTCTCCAATATCCTTAAAGTGCACGTGCAAATGTAAAATGTAATATTGTCTCATCTTACTTTATTTGCTGTTTTAGCCTACAAGAAAATAAAAACACGTCTTACATCGAAGATAGGCTAATCATAGGCTATTTTGTGGTGTGTTCTGATTACTAATATGATTACAAACATGTTCACATGTATTGATGTTCTTCATTGCGTTCATCCATTTACATTAGGCCTATAGTTTGACGATAACCTCAAAGTTGTGTGTGTGTGTGTGTGTGTGTGTGTGTGTGTGTGTGTGTGTGTGTGTGTGTGTGTGTCTGCCGCCCTCTGTAGTTCAACAAGAGGAAGTAACAGCATTCGACGAAGTATCAAGAAGCTTCGAATTAATTAATAATTTTAACCCGATTAAGTAGGCTATACTCATCTTTAATTATTAAAACTGTATAAAGTTGCAATAAAACATCTTTAAAATCATTATCTTTAAAAATAAATTAGCTAAAAACAAACAAAAAAACAATAACAGCAACTATATTCATAATTTATGATTGTAATTTACAGTATTAACATTAATCTTAGGTGACTGTGTATGGTAGAAACCATTGTTACCATGCTATTTTTTGTGAAGGGTGGTAAGGCACGGGCACGCGTCATGAACGCGGCGGGCGGGCTCACGCGTGGTGGGAGTGTTTGAGGGGCGCGAGGGCTGCGCGAGACTTCACAACACAACTCTCAACATGAAACTAGCCAAAGTGAGTGATACAAAAGTAACGAAAAACTTCCCTAACGTCGTTTTTAACATCTCTTCCCCACTCTTTAACACTCCTGCCTGACTGTTAATAAGCCTACGCGCTTAACTAACCTCAAACGCTGGACTTTTGTGGTGTCAATCTTGGCCAGAACCAAACTAACGTTGAGCTAACGAGCTAACGCACATAGCCGTCTTTTGTATGCACATTTGATTTTATTCTGGTTTTCTTTAGGCTTCTTCTGGCTAAAATACACTTTTACAGTTCCTCATAATAGTTTTAATGTTTACAACCAGATAAATTAAATCTTGTGATTCCAAAGGCAAAATGTGCTAGCATGTGTTAAAAAAATAATTAATATTTATAAGTCGTATTCCAGTAGTTTGAGTTACTGTGTCTTTCCTATTTTCAGATAAGGAGAAAATCAAACATTGAAGACCTGAAGCTATCTGTCTTGTGTTAGACCTAAACCAACACATTGAATTAGAGGGGAAACTGTCTCCTAAAAGGGAATAAAGGTGTAGTTGTGGGTTTCAGGAGGGGAAACCCTCCTGAACATAGTCAGCTTTCATTGTCAACTTCCCCGGGTGACAATGATGACAACCCAGGGTGGTGGCGATGAGCCTGATCCCTTTTCGGTGGTGACCCGGTTGGCAGGGGCAGGAGGAGACGGTACCACCCATTTACCAGCCTGTTGCAGCCAGGGGATACAGATCTCGGACCTGAGCTCAACTTTGTCTGCTGTTTTACCTCCTAAACAGCCTCCTGGGATCACATATTCCGTATTTGGGAAGGATCCGAGACCTGGAACAGTCATGTTTGCCTCAAAGGGAGGTGGCATCACTGCTGGACATGTTATATTGGGGTCTTTTTCAGGAGTTGGGAGAGGGATGTCAGATCCTACACAGGAAGGTGCTGTCGGTCAAATACCATCCACATCCCTGAGTCCCGAGGTGTGCCTGGCAGCCCCTTCGTTTCACTCGCTGGGTATAGTTGAAGAAGGTGATGCTCTGGATGTGCAGGAAATTGGAGAGGATGAGGAAGTTGTTTTAACCCTCACTGCACCGCCTCCTAATCAGTAAGTCACTGTAAAATGACATTTTGCATCCTATGAGTGGATAGCTCTGAACTGTGATGAAAATAGTAAAAGTACATAATGGAGTTTGTAACTCGACAGGTGGTATCATGGGAAGCTGGACCGGATGATTGCAGAGGAGCGTTTGCTTCAGTCCAGGGCGGCGGGTAGCTACCTCATCAGGGAGAGTGACCGCAGACCAGGCTCATTTGTGTTATCTTTCCTTAGCATGACCAACACAGTCAGCCATTTCAGGTGTTTGTTTTTTATTCCCTTCATCTTTCTCCACAGCATCAGTGTCTAATCAAACCACATCTTTGTAATGAGCCATCACTAATGATCATGATACATTTTTTTCGGTTTCTTTCATTTAAATGTAAAATATTTGATAATGAGCTGGTGTCTGTGGTGACCGGAGTAATGAATGTTTACAGGATCATCGCCATGTGTGGAGATTACTACATTGGAGGCCGTCGTTTCTCTTCTCTGTCAGATCTGATTGGTTACTACAGTTACGTGTCCTGTCTGCTGAAAGGAGAGACGTTGATATCACCAGTCGCCCCTCCAGAGGTAGACTTTGATGTTAACGTTTTGTATTATTTATTAACATAAAAATTGACTGTCATTTCCATAATATATAAAAAACCATACGTTTTGTTTTCTAAGCCCGTTGAAGACCGCAGGAGGGTCCGAGCAATTCTCCCATACACCAAAGTGCCCGAAACTGATGAGATCAGGTCATTTGATTTTATTAATATTTTATTTGGAGTCAGTAAGAATTTTTTTCATAGAAAATAACAAGGACCTTTTATTTTGGTCAAAAGGGACAGTAGAGACATTTATAATATTACAACTGATCTTTAACTTTCTATAATTCAAAGTATCAATGTAATGTTTAAAAAAAAGTATCAAAAAATATTTCCAACCCTAAACCTATACATTTATAATATATACACACACATACAAACACTCACATATATCCTAAAAAATCTTCACTGACACTTTTTATTTACTGTTATAGAATGTATTAATATGTTATGTTTTTAGATATTACGTTTATATTTTAAGTTTTATTTAAAATGTTAGTACATTTTTTTGTAGTTTTTTATATTGTGTTTTATTATTACTATTTATGTTAAATGATTTTTAGTTCTTTTTAATTTTCCATTCAGTAATTTTAGTGATTGTGGATTTTTTTAAATAATAAAATATGTATGTGTGTATATAGATAAAATAATAATGATAAAAATGTCATTGTGATTAAATTTGACTTAAATTGACTTCTTTTGCTCACAGTTTCTTCAAAGGTGACACATTTATAGTTCATAATGAACTGGAGGATGGCTGGTTGTGGGTGACAAATGTCCGAACAGATGAGCAGGGACTCATAGTTGAGGACCTAGTGAAAGAAGTGGTGAGTGGAAACACTTTCGATTTTAAATGGGGCCGGAGCAACGATTAATAGCGATTAATCGCATCCAAAATAAAAGTTTGTGTTTACATAATATATGTGTGTGTACTGTGTATAATTATTTTGTATATAAAAAAATCATACACATGCAAGTATATATTTAAGAATTTTTTTTATTAATATATCAAATATTAATATTTATATTTAATATAAATGATGTATAAATATATGAAGAGCTCTTTTCCAAAACGCGATAAACGCCATTTAAAAAAAAAAATGAGTTTGTCGTGTCATTCTGCTGTGGACAGAACCCTTCCACTGCTCCATCAACGTTTCATGCCAAATCGCTATATTTCCTTGTTTAAAATGTACTGCAAGATACACTTTCTTTCCAAACCGCGATAAGCGCCAGCCCTGTTTTTAGCCTAAACACGATAAATCCTCAAATTCAATGAGCGCTTTACACAATCCAGCACGGCGGCACTCTGAACAGAGGTTTATTATGTTCATTTATTCCTCAAAATGAGTCCTAGTTTTCTAGTCGACTAGTAGTAGATCATTTAAGCCATTTGTATTATCAGTAATCACATATATTGATTTAATTAAATGGGAGAGAAACCATATGAGCGTTTTTAATTGCCTATTCCGCATCTCAACGTATGCATAAAGCTTGCCACAAAGAACCGGCAAAAGTAATGATTATGCATGAAACATTTGAATTGTTTATTAATAAACTAGTGTTTTCTGTCAGTGTCAGCAACAAAGATAAAGTTGATGATGCTTACTCGCCATCTTCGAAGTGAAAGCGCATAGGCCTAGAGAAACGCATACTTCGAATTAGCCTACATAGGCAGAGAGTTGCCAGTTTATTTTAGTTTTTAATTGTTTTGTTTAAAAGTAGATATTTAAAGCTTTCTGTAGCTTAGTTCTCAGGCCTGTGTGAGGCAAGCATCGCGGTGTTTCGGTTCATATTATGAGACGCGCTCCGGTTCACCTGCGCGCCTCTGTGTCCTGATTATATTGTCTGATATTTACTTCTGATGTATTAATCCAGTCAATTTGTCGATGAAACATTTATTAAAATGAAGATACAATTTATATGAAACGAAATTTACAAGCTTTCTACAAAACAAAACTTAATAAGTGGTCAAAATCATGTCTGACGCACTCCAAATATTTTCCGATATTGGGCAGCTTTTGAATTTTGATCCTATCTTACTCATCTCATGCGGTTCCCTTTTCATAGCCTACTCAACATAGATGAAATAATAAAAATAAGTAATGTAATATTATTAAAAACAAATGTGAAAAGTAGCCTATGTTTATTTAGTTTTTTTAACTTATATTTAAGCGTCATGCTGCTCCGCTTTGCTCACATGTTATGTAGCCTGTGTGTGTGTGCATGTGCTGGAGGGGTGCCCATACCTTTTTTGAATATCGTTATCATATATTGATCATTTTTAATAATTCATTTTTTTCATGCATATGTTGAAATTGGTATTAATAATTTGTTTTTTTTCATGCATATGTTGAAATTGGTACTATTTGTTTGAGGTTTGACTCTTTACTGAAAATGACTTTACTAAAAATGATACAAAAAATGGATGGATTTATAGCGTTTTGGAAAAAAATAAAATTAACTTTTAAA